GTGGTTCGATAAACTTTTTATGAACTTTGGCATTGGAAATTAGATTTAATTGTTATGTTCGATTTTATTTGTTTTGTGCAATTATAATATCCATAATTTATTAATAAACGATTAACGATCCAAAATACAATTTAAGAAATTATAACAGTGGAAAATCCTTTATGGATTTTTTTCAAATAATGTTTATCATTTTTTATTTGATGTTTCGCTACTATTTTACCACGCTCTGTAGATAAAACAGTAAAGTAAAACTTTTAATTAAAATGGTGGACAATTTAAAAAAAAAATGTATCAAGAGTTCTAAAAAAGTGATAAAATGAAATTTGATATAGATAGAAAGTAATTTTTATGATAAATATTTACTTAGAATTTCATTTGGAAGCATGTTTATTAAAAGCCCTACAATTTTTATTTTTTTTCCGTACTTCGAACAGTAATGAAGAAAAAGAAGGGGATTTTTCAGTACCAGCTAAAGTTAACAAAATAATAATTTGTTACTCATAAGTAAAGCGACTGTAGAAAATAATTAACAGGTGTCCTAAGTGTTTCGCGGTTAATCATCTCTGGCGGTAGGAAAATAAATACCCATTTCAAAAACGAAAGTGATCTATTAACATTTACCGAGGTCATAGGCGCATATCTAAAATAGTCAAAGTTTTTAATAGATACTATTTTTACTAATGGTGGTTAAGCGTCAATTACTTCACATTTTAGTAGTAACGCTATCCATGTCATTGTACAATAGCATGTACATGTCCGCCTCTGACCTAAAGCTTGGCATCGATCGATTTATTCGATACGTATCTAGCGGCACCTTAATGTCTGCCCTGTTGGCCTGGCGTGTCGGTGAACAATCCAGATTCTTTGCTGAGGGGCGTTGGCTCTGCATTTCATTGTCGTTTGTACGTGTGTGAGTGAATTTGATGCCTTGCTTGGTCAAGTGTATGGCACGTCTTTTTATGGCAGTCAGTAGCATTGTGTGTTGTGAGAGCGGCACAAGGCTTGACCACATATTTAGCCAAATTCTGCTACTACTACGCATATTGCCGCCTACTCTCATAATATGGATTATTACTGTTTATTTATTTGATTGTCGTGGATTTGATTATCTATGAATAATTTACGATTATTCCAATTTCAGTCTTTAAATTTTAAAATAGCTATAATTTCGAAACAAAAGAAAATCGGTATGTTTATGTAACATTTTTTTTTTTAGAAATTATATTTACTTATACTTATGAAGAAAGACTTATTATTTTATTCTCTGAAGCGTCTAGACTGGAAAATGCTAGTCAACTGTTCAGTGACATTGACAGATATCCTGCTTTCTAAGACAATTGCCAAATTAACTTCTTACTTCAGCAAGTAATTCATATTGAAAACATAAATCAGATATATTTATTACAGTTTTTTTATTGAAATAATTTAGCATATACTTCAAATTAATTAACAATTAGTTACAGTCTAGGCTACAGCAAAAAAATAACTATTGCTAACCAATTACTTACCTTTCCTTTTGTTGCATTCTGTCTATTTCTGGATATTTGCATGCACTTTATTTTGTTTCTAGTACTTTTTTTCTAGGCTGACATCGTCATTGCCGAATCCATCACAATAATTGAGACATGAATGAGACATTGTTTGCGAAAATTTGTTAAAAAATTTCGAAAAAATTGGTAATTTAGCAGAATATTCCCTCTATTACGATGACCTTCGACATATATCAATATATTTATATTATAATAATTATTGCGAAAAAATAATTAAAACTATAATGTATAGGAAACAGTCATTGTAACATAGCAATGAACTAGATTTCTAAATTAACTTAGTATTGGACAGAGTAAATGGGTGCATGATTTATTTCGACATATAATTCCTGCAATAGTCAGTTCTCAGTATCAAATGGTTCAGTTACTGCAGAACATTCAGTGGGGCAACTGTTACTTAAAATTTTTCTTCGAGTGATGAAAACTTGTGCAGACATACCTAGTTACCATTTTTAAAACTTTATTGTGCTTGCTGTATTTCTGATTGCGAAAATAAATAATTTGACCATTTTCGAGAAAGTTCTTCAGGATTTCAAAAATTGGGTGAGTTATTTAAACAAATATTTTATTCAGTATCAATATATCCAACTGACAAATTACTGTACAGTATAATTTATTTCAGGCATACATTTTATAAAAGTAATTTGAAATTTTTGCATTGTTAATCTGAAATAGCACCAAAATACACCTCAAAATAGGCATGTGATAGATTTTAATTATTTGATTGCATTTTAATTGTTTAAGAAGAAATAACTGCACACACAGTCAAACACTGTTGCAATATTAATAATTAATTAATAAATAATAATTAATAATCAATTTTATTTGAAATATTGGACAATAATATGAGAGTATTTATTTAAAACATATTTTGTTTATCAAATTTTTTAAGTAGTTTGAATTTCAAGCACAATTAAACCGCAATAATTTATTTCATTTTTTTTTAATATGCATACGTTCAAAAGTGCCTTGATAAAAAGTGTTGTGCTACTATTCAAATACCGGTTGTTTACAGAATTAAAAATCAAATAGCCTGGGGCTATTTAAATACATTCACATTCAGTGAAAGTGGTGCAGATCCATATTTCCTATTTATTTATTACACTGCATTTTCCATGGTTCATTAGTCTTCTCGCAATTAAGAAGAACATATACCTACATACAGCACGCAGACTATTTATTGCAAAATTATCATCGTTACGTACTTATAAGGATGATTCAATAAACCGATTACAATGATTAATGAAACATTAAAGAGCTCCTTAAAGTAATCTGCTAAAAAACAAGAATTACTTTTATGCTACCCAAAGTTTGAAACAAATTGAAATCCAGATTCTATATACGGCTTGACAAGTTATTAAAATAAAACGATATACCTAAATCTTAATTTTGGGTCACTAACAATAAAATGAAAACTGGTGTCAAGGTCATTACTGGTTTTAATCGTTCACACATTTTGAAGCCTTAGGACGCCTCAACCGCATTGCGTTTGGTGTTCACTGCAAATCAAGACACCAACATACACATAATTTTGTCTGAGGAAAAAAAATTCTCTAGGTTCGATTATGATGATCTGTATGCATCACATACTTTTCCAATAGAAATATTTTTTTGGTTCTAAAAACCTGAAATTTATCTTTCTATGTTTATTAAAATCGTGACCATTTATCACATTAAGACTTTTTAGATCCAATTTTAACCATATCTTTTCCAAAATATAATATAATGCATTACATAAGTGTTGTCAGTTTTGACCTTTAACCTTTTTCATTGAGAATTTATGACAAATCTTTTTTCATATAAAAAAAGTACACTTGTATACCAGAAAACGTTCCATTTTTGGAAAACACAATTGATTGCCCCAAAGCTAACCAGTTTCTGTTCTTTAATATACCGGGTGATTGGAAATGAATGGGCCCCACTTCAACAGTGATTTTCTTTTATGAAAATAAATTTACATATATCAAAATACTTTTGCAAAATTTTGCTTTCTTACCGGCCTTCCATGTTTCCTTTATTTCATTTATATTTTCTAATAATATGTATGTAATTACTAACGTAACATTTTAATGAAGCAACATCTTCCTACAGTAACTTGATCTGAACCGATTTGTTTTCATTCGTATCCTTGACGTATGGCCCAGTTGTTTTTTAGAAAACTGTAAATATTTTGGGTCATACACTAGTTGTCAAGTCGTATTAGTTTAATTTAAGGATTAAAAGTTGCTTAAAAACGAAATGCATTGAAATTTGTATATGCAAATATCTCGATAACTAACGGACATATCGAAAACGAACAAGAGTAACTTTTTTTTTAAACGAAGGTCGCTCTTTCATATTTTCCATACACAATGTCCGAAGTTCTGAAGGCAAAAACTATTTTCCCCTATTTATCAAAGGAATAGGGCATAACTGACGTGCTATAGAAGCAACATCAAAATTAGTTAGAAACTATTATTTGTCATGTCAAAAACATAATAGTGCCAATTTTATTGTTCATACACTGACAGTTTTTAAAATTAAGTTTCGAAATAAAATTCAGACATTGAACGCCCTCTATCTTTGAAACCAGCAACATTTGCATAAGGCATGTTTGGCTGAATCGACTTATTTTGGCCACCAGTATCTCCAGCTTCGAGATTTTCCAACCTTTCGCAGACATCCTGTATAAATGAATTAAATTTAGATGACTGGGATAATCAATTGAAATTTTTTCATAAACTTTGAATGGGCAATAAACTTAACTACCTAATATAACATGTATACTGCTTCTTAAAAAAATAGGGTAAGTTTTAACTCTATTTTAAATTTCATTTAAAAAAGTAGTCATAGATGCTCAGTATTTCAAACAAAGAAGGTAGGCGCGCGGAACTTTGGAAAAATCTTGCAATTTTGTTCTATCCTCCCATGAATTTATGGTACCTTTTCCCAAAACACCCTGTATAATAACATGTTGCGCTATTAATAGAAATACTAATACTCCAAAGAAAATAAGATCGGAGAACACAGGAATAAAATGGTAAAATATTTTGTATTAGGAATAGTAATTTTTTTTCAACTAAGGTTTATTATGAGGTGCAATGGTAAATTAAGTTTAAAATTATTTTCTGAACAACTAAGAGAAGATAATTCAATAAATCACTTCACTGTGTATATTTACTTTCTTAAATTGTGATCCACCATGTCGGTATTGCGGTTTTCCTTATTTTATTTATTTATTTATTTTTTTGAGAATGAAAGAACTCAGATCAAATAACCGAATTCTATCACAATTCAGGTGCTCGCATTGGCTTACCTTGAAATCTGGTCTATCCACCGCATTAGAATCTGCAATTTTGTGGTATCTTGACTAGAAAGGAAAAAAATCCTTTCTTTTTATCTATTGTCTAATTTTACTGTTAGTGGAACTTTTACATAACTCTTGCACCTTAAAGTTCTTGTGGCATTTACCTTCTGTTCTACTCATCTTTTACAGTATCTGAACAGTTATTTTTGAACCAAAACGCACATATTTCTTTTATAAGAATTGTCGATGATGAACGTAACATTTTGCCACATTGTTGTTATTAATATTAGTCAGATTACTGTCGGCACCACCAGTGTCTTCTAATGCAAATATTTTATTATGCTTGTTTTATTATAAACATTAACTTAATAACGAATAATTACCATCGAGTTAATTAAACCACTTGCCATTTGCAGAAAAACTCTGCCCCACTAGCCTGCCAAGACGTGTTGGTTCGCTTCCTGCTGATTTCTCTGGTCAATTGGAAGAACTATACCCAACAGAATTCCAAGAAAGTTCTTCTAGGGACCCGCGAAGAATAATGATGGCTGGATAGGCCAGACCGGAATGATAATTAGACGTGGTAGAATGTGTGTTAATTAACGAATTGCTCGCAATTTTTTTCAATTTTGACCGACGACCTGGCGGACCAGCTAAACTAGTGCAAAATTAACAACCATGAGTGTTGAATTGTGACGAAAATGTGGAGGATCGTACTAGCTTTAGGAATAATCACAAGTAAGTAAATTTTCTGGTATATTACAAAATAAGAACTAGGTTAATTTAAAAAATATGGGTCATCACATTTCATGCAAAACATATTTAGGTAAAAGAATTTCACCTGCAAACAGTGATTTTAATAAAATAGTGAATAACAGTTGGTGTTTAGGGAATTTACGAAAATTTTGATAAGTACGACTGGAAAGAGAAATATAAACGGATGTTAAGATTAATTTCTGTTTTCAGCATACATAGAATGAAAAAGGAAATAAGTTTATTCTCCGACATTTGAAATAATCTTAGGATATGCGAATTGTGAAAATTTAAGTACCTTCATAGTAAAAGCATTAAAAAAGTTTATTATTGTAACACTCGTATTATGTAACACTTGAAATTGTAAGAGTTAATTAACATAACTAACACATAACTAATACATAATACATATCTAACTATGTTTTATGAATGGACATAGTGCATTCTCAGTTTTTTTATTGTTTATATAAGTTTTAATAATTACCATCATAAACCGTAAACGGCACGAGATACTTTCAACTTTTTTTTTGCTTTCTTTGTATAGTAACGGCAAAACGACCCACGAGTTCATGTGCGGAACTTAGTTGATAGTGAAAAGGAATAATTATTCGCAACTGTTGTTTATTTTGTAAATATTGTTAAAAAATAAACAAAGACAAACATGTAAAAGAATGGTTTTGTAACTTTTATTGAAATTATATCCCAATAAAGCAATTTCTAACAAATATTGTCGCTCGAATTGTACGAGGCGTATCCACAAAGTAAGAGTACTCATTTTTTTTTTAAATCTCAGCGGCAGTATATTTATGAAAAATTTACATATTTAGAAAGGTACATCAAACATTATTTTTCGACGTACTCGCCTTTAACCTCAATGCACTTGTGTTTATGGGTGGCTGCATAAACACTTTCAGAGAAGAGAAAAGATGAAAGTCAGAAGGTTCTAGGTCAGGGTTGTGAGCGGGGTGCGGGGTGGTTAATGATGTTCCAACCGAATGAATCCAAGAGTTGCTTTGTGGCGTTGCGTTGGCTTGAGATTTGTGGAAACACTGCGTTCATTTCGTCCAAAGTCAATCAACGGTCGCCACAAAGCATTGTTTCGATCTTGTTCATCATCTCATTAGTCACGATTGAGAGACGCCCAGTCCTTCGTTCATCATGAACAGTTCAGCCCGCTTTATATTCACATCATGCGCATGTACACATTAGTACGATTCATTACACCATCTCCAAAAACAGTTTTGATTTCGTTAAAAATCTGAAGAAGGCCGATTACGTTCTTCACCTCACAGCTGGCGGGATGCGGAATAGCGCAACTCATTTCAACACGTCACTACAACAACAGTTCTCAACTGATTGAGACAAATGGCCGCACGTTCTGCTCCTAACACCTTGGCCTTGAATGTAGTGTTGCCAACATTGTCGAAAATAAAAACCACAGAGCATCTCTTATTTTGTGGATATGCCTCTTAACATCTAAAAATTGATATATTATAAAATAATTTATACAGGGTGTCTCGTATTACATTAATTAAACTTTACCTGATAACAGCTCATCAAAGTAAGAGAAAAAAGTTTATTAGACTAGGCGGTATCTGTTTTGGTTTGGGTGAATCGTATATCCACGGAGATTTTTGGCTTTTTGGCTTTCAAATATCACTAGAAATGAAAATTTTTCTATGCGCATAAAAAAACATGGGCTTAACTTGTTAAAAAAATTCGAAAAATGTCATATTTTCAAGAGTTGATTTTAGGCGAAAATGGAAGAGGAAAAAAATCTTTGTAATACATTTTTTTGTAAAACATGACTAGTTACAAATCGAATGAATTATGATTATTATGGTAAAAATCGAAAAAATCGCAAAATATGGGATTAAAAAACAATACTTTTTAGGGAATTTTTTGGGGTATTTAAATTGGGTATAGGACCTTTATAGTTGGCTCAAGAAAACTTCATGTTATGTAGAATTATCACACCAAATTTCATCAAAATCGGTTCGATAGATTTTGCAATCCAGATTTTGAAAAAAAATTGCAAATTTTCACAATTTTGCACAGCGAAAACCAAGGCCCTTAGATACTTGAAAATTTAATCACATATAGAAGGGCTCTCAAGCTTTCAAATTTTTTTTGGAAAATTCGAATCCGTCAATTAGGAGAGCTCTGGCGCTTGTTTAAACATTGCTCAAATTTTTGTACTTATAAATAATTAGAATAACTTTATGAATATTCAATCAAATCAAATTTTTTAAAGCAGGTTTTAAAAGTTCTTTAAAAGACGCTTATTAAAAACAGATCGATTGATCAATTAGTTACGTAGTTATAGCCGTAATTCTACATAACATGAAGTTTTCTTGAGCGAAGTATAAAGGTCCTATACCCAATTCAAATTCCCCAAAAAAAATTCCCTAAAAAGTATTGTTTTTTAACTCCATTTATGCGATTTTTTCGATTTTTACCATAATAATCATGATTCATTCGATGTCTAATAAAAAAGTTTATTAGACTAGGCGGTATCTGTTTTGGTTTGGGTGAATCGTATATCCACGGAGATTTTTGGCTTTTTGGCTTTCAAATATCACTAGAAATGAAAATTTTTCTATGCGCATAAAAAAACCGTGGGCTTAACATTTAAAAATC